TGAATTATTCTTTATCTTAGTTCGTCTATGTTCGCCGGTTGCGTTTTAAATACGACAGATTTCAAATGTAAGTATCATATTAGTTTATTTTTTGATTTTCACGATAATTACTAACCTAAATGTAATGCTATTGGGTATGGTGGGAAAGCATTTTTTCAGAGCTTTCCAACGACGTATCACACATGGGGGGTCACTATTTAAGTTTTAAAAGTTGGGGTGGCTGGGGCGCAGGGGGTTGGAGGGGGCGCGTCGCCAACTATGTCATTGTGATTCCTCTCCGAATTACCGAAACGGATTTTGATTTTTTTTAATATCTCGTTTGTTTACTAAGATATGGGAGGTGGTAAGTTTTCAAATTGTCACCCTGTATATCTTAAGGTGTTTAACTATAATAACCAATTAAATATGTGCATGTTTTTCCGCATTATCGCAATTCACTTTAATGCTCACTATTTCTAAATGATTTAATGCTTTAAGTTTTTTTTTGTGAAACATTACGTGAGCTATTATATTTGCGTAAAACAGTGTTTGAGTCATCTTTTGAAGATTGCGAATATGTCAGTGTATGAGATACAAAAAGCCTAACTCATAACCTGCCAGATCAAATGAGTGATACCTATGTAAATTATTTTTGCATTTGACATTAAAGCTGCAAGGTTGTGCAGCTTATTTCATTATCGGAGACCTATTGCGATTGACCCGAAATTCCAGGTAACAATGGAAATTATCGGGGTACCTAATTTGGAAATTTTAACCCGGCCAATTAAGTATGTATAATTAACAGTAGATAATTAAATGAGTTGCAGTAAATCGCATCCGAACCAGTCGTGAGTGGTTTCATTAGAAGCGCACTTAATTGAGCTCAATTGTAAGACCAATTAGAAATTTGTATGTTTAACGCAGGACGCGCAATTAAATAAACAAATTTTACCCAAAATCGTCCTGAAACCTTCATTTTCATGCCTACTTTCTGTCAGGAAATTTTCCATGACAGAGGCATTGTATCCTGCCGCTTGACACTTTACTGGCCGCACCTGTCACTTTACCGGCCGCATCTGTGACATTTGCTAAATGTCTATATTGACTCCTGCGATCACTGACAGATTGACATTAATGAAAAGTTTTATGACTCTGCCCCAAAGGGTCCCCGTACTTCAATATTTCCTCGCCAGTAATGTGTCATTTCCCAGACTCTTATGTAAATAGGTATTAATTTTTGGATGTAAACAATCGAATACGCTGTGTCGGCTGGGAAACCGTCGATTCCTCCAGGAAATAGCCGATAATTACCGTAATAAGCATATATACATATGCAGTGACAGTCAGGTGATGCAGATGGAGGGTTAAGCATCACCTGCACAATATTGGGCTTGTAGAAGAGCCCACGTGCAGGTTTTGTGGCGAGGGAGATGAAAATACCGAGCATGTGGTCTGTCACTGTGACGCCTTGATCAGAGACATACATCAGCTCCTTGGCGACAGTTATCTAGAACTGGGAGGGGGGGTGGGCAAAGCAACTTAAGCTAAACAGGGTCCCGTCCTTTAACGAAAGGAGCAGGTGCTGAAATTAAAGGGACAGGGCCGGCTTTAGGCGAAAGCGGTGTAGACCTCCGCTTACGGCGCAACATTACTCAAATTTAATGACTGCCGAATTACGGATGGAAAACACCCACGGCGTTTCGATTTTTAAGATCACGATATAACGATATAACATAAATTGAAAAAATACCTAATATAGTAATTATGTAGCGAATATTCCAGAAATCCCGATAGACATCGAGGCGCCATAAAAGAATAGTAATCGGCGATAAAGAACAAAAGCGGATGTGATTAAATCTTTCCGCGAAATGTGATGTGTTTTGTTCTAGAATGTTCAAGATCATTCGGGAGCACTCGAGAATATTCGAGTTGGCTATATAAGCAAATCTAATTGTGTTTCAGGAAAGTTCCAATTTCAACACCGAAGTAATAAATAGTTCCCACTGTTATAAATTGTGTTAATGTGAGTCATAAATAATATTTGGGTGTTATAAATCAATTCATTTCAACATTGTTATAAATGTATTGTTAATTAATTGTAAATAAATAAATCATGCAATTAAATTTACGTTCCAATATGTTTTAAGTATATAGACCTCTTCGGTGTGCCTACGTGATTCCTGCTCGAGTTCCCTTTATGAATAGAATAGAATAGAATCTTTCGGGTTGTCTTCGGAATTTCGTGATCATTCATTTATTATTTAAAGCTTCAATTTTATTAATTCTCACAAGATGAGCTGGATAAAACCCAATTAACCACGTACAGTAGGTCTTTCTCAAAAGCTACCTTAGGAAGAATGTCTTCGTGGAAATGTAGAATTTCAGTGTTTCCCCTTATCAGTCTCAGGTAAAACAAGCAATAAAATTGAAGGTTCCCAAATTTGAATTTTAGGAAAGAGGGAAAAGATACGTAGAAAGAGACCAAGAATGATACGATTTTAAATGTGAACAGTGCAAATGTGAAGTCACACAGGACAAAGAAGAGTAACATAGAAGAGAGAATAAAATTGAAATGTTACAGCCAGCTAAAAATTAAAGTAAAATAAATGAACTACTCCCAAAACCAATCCCCCACAATTGCTCAGAAAACAGCGTGTACAGGTTCGGAAAAAAAACCGTCAACCCCCTCCAATTGATCGCAGATACGCTTTTTAACCAAATCAAATTATCTTTCATGGTATTCTAATTAAAGGTCTCAACAGAAGAAACTGTTTTCTACCAACTACCGTTGCCCCTTATTAAACGAGGAGGTGGGGGTTAGGGAGTGGAGCAGGTTTTATCCTTCATGGCACTCTAATGAAAGGTCTCAAGGAAGGAAATTAATTTCTACCACCTATAGTCCTTCTCCTCCACCCCTTATCGTGATCGGATATAATTTCTTGACTGTAGGAGGAGGGTACTCACAAATTACGATTAGGATGTCTGGAAGAAATATGTATGTCGATTGGTGATTTCACAAGTTTAAGAGCGAATATCTCGAAAACGGTTTGTCGGAAGAGAGTACTCACAAAAATAAAATGAATCGTCTAGGCTTGACGTATCTACTGGTGAAGTCGAAGCGAATATCTTAAAAGCAGTGGCGGAAGACGGTAGGTACTCTTAAAGGGCAAGTGGAACGTCAGAACGAGACATATCTATTGGTGATGTTAAAACTT